GGAGATAGAGGCAAACTGTCCTGGTAAGCTCTTCAGAGGCCGTCCCAGGAGCAGCCCCACCACCTGCACGATCGATAGTTCAGCATGACCTCTTCCTTTTGCTTGCTTTTTCTCTCCTTGAGCTGGTTGGGCAATAAAGTCTGACTCCAAGCTTTCACCAGGACTAGATTATAACTCTCCCAATTGATCTGATATGTAAAGAATAAAGGGCCCTCTTAAGCCAGCTGTCTGCACTGGAAGAACTCAAGTGGCTGCGCAGGCAGGGTCAGCCCCTCATTAATTCCTGGCTGCTCGGGACCCTGCTCATGCGAAGCGTGAAACTTGTACCACAGTGCTGGAGGGAGTCAATTAGTCATGACAAATCCAATCCGACTTCTGCCCAGAGCTTTCCCAGTCAGCTGCCTGTGCTGCTGGTGCCTTTTCACAAGTGCATCATCATCAGAGCCACCATGCCCTGTCCCTCCTGCTCCCTTTTTGTGATGCATCTTCATTTCTTTTATTTGCTTTTCTCCAGAAATCGAAGTGCTCGGTGTGTGAGGAGGAGGGGGAGCCCTTTGTTGCTTCACACACTGAAGGTATGCTGCAGCCAGCAGATGTGTGTCCCAAGTGAAGCCACACGTGGGGGTCCTGGGCAGAGGAGGTGAGGGGGGTTCTCCTTCCTCAGACAGCCACTGTCTTCTTGAAAACCTTTTGCACACCAACCCTCCAAACTGCAGCCTCTCTCCTGCACTGAGGCTGATAAACAGGGAGCACCTGGAAGATGAAGGCTGACTTAAAAACCCAAGAGTTGTGTGTGTTTTCTCCCAGAACAGGACAACTTAGAGATGCTCTGATATCTCAGGTGGGTATGTGGGCTGTGGCTCCAGATAAAATTCATTTCCTGCTCCATGTTGGTGCAGCTGTGTTGTCCCGATGCTGTGGGTTACTTGATGCGGTTCAGATGTCAGTTGGGAAAACCCAACCCTTCTTAACACATCAGCACCCTGGGCACGACCCCAGGAGGCTTCAGAGGTGTCTGTGAGCATCTGAATGGCATCTGTGGGGTGAGGGACCACCAGCATTTGCCTGGCCTGTGCCATGCTGTGATGCCACAGCCTATGTTTTCCGGGGAGAGGAATGTTGAGCTGCTGGCATTAAGCCAGCCCGTGTTTGGATGCCGTCCCTCTCTGAGAACAGTGGCCTGTGTGTCCGCACATGGTGTCCAGAGCTGCTCGTCCCACCTGTGCATCTCAGTCTCCTCCAAGGCCAGCTGAGCCCTGTGCCTGTTCCAAGGAATGTCCTCCTGGCCAAGCCTGACTTTGGAAGCCAAATGCTCTGGGCGAAAGCCGTGTCCTGGCTCTCACAGCAGCAGGAGTGCTTTGCCTCAGGGTGTGGTGTGGAGGGGCTGGGGGTTGCCAGGGGCTGTCTGTGGCCACCAGTGATGGAGGAATGCCCTGGGTTGTGTCTCCCAGTGCACTCTGTGATGATGAATAACTCCGTAACCAGCTAATCCGGGGATCTGTTTGCTCAGCCTCCTTCTCTGAGCTCCTTTTCCTCCTTGGCTGGGAAGTGCCCACAGTTGGCACATGACAGAAATCCCAATGAGAATCCCTTCCAGAGCCACTGGGCTGGCAGAGCCACAGGGCTCCGGGCCACAGCCACCACCCTTTGCCTTTAACCCTGGCACTGCTGGCAGCAAAGCCCTTGGGCTCCCCCTCTTCCATCCCATGGTTCAGGTGCAGGGCCTTCCCTGTCCCCAGCCCAAGGGGATGGTGGTGAATGGAGGCTGGACCCCCTCAACCCACGAGCTCTGTGGGGGCTGCACACCCTGCCCAAAGCGCCCAGCGAGCCCCAGCAGCCCCAGCTTTTGGCCTCCGCTAATTCCACGGTGCTTAATTACAAGTAGCAGGGATTTGGAGAGGAAGCAGAGGGGGCGAGCACAGGACAGATTGGAGGGAAGATTGTGCTGGGGGTGGCAGGGCTGTCAAGCCAGAAACACAAGAGCTGATTAGCATTTCTAATTATAACCGCTGCGCTCAGCCCGGCAGCGCCCGGCAGGCAGCAGAGGCAGCTGACGGGCTGCGCGGAGCCAGCTGTGGATGCCACGCAGGAAGCCTCAAATCCTTAAAGGATGCACAGAAAAGAGCATTAGAGCCTGGATCCATCATCACCGGGGCTGAGGCAGCGCCTGGGAATGCACAGCTCCCCAGGACTCAAATCCCCCTGGTTTGTGGCCATAGGGCTGATCCTGCTGGCACCGCTTGGAGAGGGGAGAGCGTGTGCCCCTCTTTTGGTTCTGGGTCCTGCACCCCCTGCCAAGCAGTGGCTCTGGGCACTGCAGGCGATGGCATTGGGCTGTGCTGTCCCCAGCTGTCACCCAACCCCGACATCCCACCCGCAGGAAGGCGGGTGCTCTGGAGGGGATGCGGAGGTGGATGTCTGGGGCGTCCTTGCTCCACGCTGCTGTTAGCACTAGCTGGCTGATAATTTATCCGTTCTCATTTGATCAGGCAAATATTATGGGCCAGCAAATGACCGCTCAGGGCTGCGGCTGCCCTGGGAGCTCCCATGTCCCGAGGGCACAGCGCTCTTGGGGACGTGCCCGCAGAGCCACCGCCTGGCTGGGAAGTGATCAGAGGCCAGCGTGCGGCACACTGCGGGCTTAGCTGGGATTAGCAGGGCTTTGACCAGGAGAAACTGAAGCGACTTAATCAAGGGAGCGAGTGAAAGAATCCCCAGGGAAGAGATCATCATGGACTGCTTTCGGCATCTTCCGGATGCTGCCTGGGGGACCCCCTTCCCCACTTCCGAGCTGCACAGCTCAGCTCTGAGTGCCTGCCTGCTGCTGGGAGCCCATCCTGGCAATGCCAGGGGATTTTTGGGAAGGGGAGAGATCCCTTGCACAGGGGCAGCCCAAGCTGAGGGAGTAGGAGCATCCCTGGTGCCGGGTGCCTGGGATAGAAACAAGAGACAGGAACAGCGGGGAAAGATCTCTTTTCCCTTGCACGCTGAATATAAGATAGAATCACACCTGCAGAATTGTTATTACTCTTTTGATTGGATTAATTAATCATTCAGTGATAACTGCTTATTAGGCATTCTAACAATCAATACTAATCACTTAATTACTTGGCATATTACAGCTTGAGAAGGTCTGCTCATTCCTAATTAGATTCGCTGGACAATCCACCTCTGAGTGTTGCAGAGCCCCATGGCAGAGATCCCTGGATTTCAAGCCTCCCTCAGCTTTGGCCCAGGTCTGTAATTCTCATCTGCATCGAGGGTTTCATCCCACCTGTGTGTGCCACACGTGACCCCCAAAATCAGGGATCAAGGCACGGGGAGCTGCGGCAGGAGGGTGAGCAGGGAGCACGGGGTGCTGGGAAGCCCAGGCCATGGCACAGAGGGGACATCACTGCAGGCAGGACAGATCCCAACAGGCAGCTCTGTGATGAGGATGGGCAGGCAGGAGTTGGGGTGGAGGTGAGGAGCCCGGGGTGGGCAGGGCAGGAGAGCTGCTTCCACTGCTCAGCCTCCCGAGATGGCACCGAGGGTGGTGGGAGAGAAATCCCTTTGAGGAATGCTTGGGTGAGCATGAAAACATCTTCAGGCTGGGAGGAAAATAAGGAATTTATTGGTGCTTGAGAAGAACTGTTGCCCTGTAGCTGTGCAGGAAAGCAGCATATCACAGCACTGAGACCCTCCTCATCCTCACAGCTGGCTCAGCTACCGGGCACCCAGCGATGCACCTTCCTGTCCCTGCTGTTTTCCAACCCCACAACGAAAAATAAGAATAAATCCCAGAGGTTTTCTCTCTTACTGCATTAATTAAAACTAAAAATAAGCTGTAGAAGTTCCAGAGAACCACCCTGGATTCAGTGGGATGTTAAAACCTGCATGGGTGGGAGCTGTGAGTGGCCAAGGCGATGTTCACCGGCCCCGTCAATGCAGCAGCGCCGTGGGCAATGTCAGCTCACGTGGAGGTCTGGACATTGCAAGGGCTTCTCACAGCACAGGAGCAGTGGGATGATCTCAGGGTTAAAAGCAGACAGCAAACACACTGCAGGATTTGGGGGTTTCAGCCAGTTTTGTGTGATGCTTGTTATTTATCACCGCTATTTGGATTAGACCAGCAAAGGCTTTTGCTTGACACTGAGTAGTGAGCTTGACACACACACTGAGTGAGGATCTGGGTATGGAGTGACCAGCTTGTTTTTAAAGGTCATTTTGAGCCAAATGCAAGAGGAGGGAGCAATCTGAACCGTGAAAAGGGGACAACTCGATAATATGGAGATGTAATAGCAAGCAAAGAATTATCTTAACGATGACCTTCCAGGACCAATTTCCATCATATTTTTGTCTCCCTGTCCCCCTTGCTTGCCTGTGTACACCTGGACAAGGCTGTCCCTGGCCTGTCTGTCAGTGTCTGACACAAAGCAGCCCCTGTCTTGCCCGAGGTTTCCCTGCCGAGCCGCAATGCAAACAGGGAGGGCAACCAGTGCTGCTGCTGGGCTTTGGGATGGAGAAGGGAAACAGTGGGGAGTCAAAGGAGCAGGGATGATGGCAGGTCTCAGCCTCGAGGGGATGCAGCCCCCGAGCCGAGCTGCGGGTAACCAGGGGGGGCTCTGGCAATCTGCCACCCAAAATAGCTTTAAATAAAGCTTGGGGCTTGGGGCCGGGGCACATCAGCATCTCCATGGACCCCCTCCGACAGGGTCATTAACGGCAGCTGGGGGACCTTGCCTAGCCTGGGGTGGGATCCCCGGGTGGGTGGGAAACCCTGGGCTGTTGGGATGGACCCCCAGGTGGATGGGCCCGGGGGGTGGTTCCCCAGATGCGGAGGTCGGGTTGACCGGCGTGGGTGCGACCCCGCGGGGGCCGGTGGGGCGGGGAATTGATGTGCGGAGCCGAGCCGAGCAGAGCCGGGCAGAGCCCCCGCCTCCCGGGCTGCGGGAGCTGCGTGCACCGCCCCCCCATCCCTCACCGCCCGCGCCGGCGGAGCCGCCGAGCCCGCGGGCCGCGGCCGGGCGCTGCGGCGGGAGCGAGCGGCGGGCGCGGGCTAGGCCCCCCCATCCCGGCCCCCCGGCCCCTCCGGCCCCGGGCGGCGAGGCGGGGCCGCGGCCCGCGCGGCCATGCCCCCCGGAGCCTGAGGCCACGCGGCCGCGGGGCGGCCCGCAGCATGCGGAGGATCCGGCGGCTGGTGCATCTGGTGCTGTTCTGCCCCTTCTCCAAGGGCCTGCAGGTACTCGGGATAGGGGGGATGCGCCGGGATGGAGGATGCGGGCTCGGGGGTGCGCCGGGCCGGGGAGATGCGCCGGGATGGGGGGATGCGCTGGGATGGGGGATGCCCGTCTCCGCATCCTGGCACCGGCCGTGCACAAAGGGACGCTCCGCCGCGTCCCACCGCCGCGCGTGCGGGGAGATGGGGAGCCGGGAATCCGGCACCGGGGAGGTCTGACCGGCACTGGAGGGTCGGGACCGGCACCGGCGGCAGCAGCTCGTTGCATAACCCGCGCCGCGCTCCGCCGTGCCGGAGCCTGGGAGCATCAGGGGCAGCCCATCCGGCAGCCCGCAACAGCGGTGGTTGAAGCGCCGATGCAGCACGGCAGGGATGGCTCCTTCCTTCTCTTCCTTTCTTTCTTTATTTCTACCCCTCTTCCCATCCCCGCTCTGCCGGGGGGGCTGGAGACCCGCCTCAGAGCTCCAGGGACTGGAGATGCTGAGGACCAGGGATGTCAGGGATGCTGGTGTGGGTGTTTTCTCTGCAGCTGTGGGATGAGAAACCCTGACTCTGGCAAAGGTCCTGGACCAGAGAGGTTATTCCTGAGGGCACGTGGGGGACACAGGAGGGGGTTCCCGTTGGGCAGAGGGTGCTGGCAGGAGGTGGGTGCAGAGCTGGGACTGCTGTGAAACAACCCCCGTGTTCCCAGGGTGCTGCAGGGAGACACAGGGATGGAGCAGGATTTTGTGATGCTGCATCCATTTTGCCTTTGAAGTCAGCTCCTGCCCAAAGTCACTTCCAGGTTCCTCCAGAGTCATCCTAAAACTAAACACATCAACTCTCACAATCAAAAGGTAACACCCTTTGGTGCAGGGCAGGCAGTGGGCAGGGAAGCTCCCGTGTCTTGAGACTGAGGCCCTGGAGGAGCCCTCAGCACCAGCTCGGAATCCAAAATCCACCCAAAGCCCAGTGGCATCTCTCGTTGAAATGCATCCCCCACGTATTTTTCCACCATTTAGGGGATGATGAAGCCAGTGCTCCCCATGATGTGCTCAGACCAGAGTCCTGATCCCCCTCCTGCCCCAGGAACATGATGAATTCCAAGTCTGAAATAAGCAAAAAGGGACATTCTGGCCTTTCCAGGGTTTTGCTGTTCCAAGACATGTCTCTAGTAGGAGATCCATGGGAAGAACCCCTCTGCTGAGGGCAGGAGGCCTGATGAGTCATGTACTCACCCTTGGGCAGTTCTAGGGGGGCTGCTGTGCTGGGGAGGCTCTCGGGGGTCACAGGGTGTGTGTCTGACGTCAGGGCCGTGAGCTGGTTCTCAGCTCACAGGAGCAGCCACCCATCCTTTGTCTTTGCCAAGTCCTGGTTGTGGTTGGGTTCTCTTTAATTAAATTTCACATTAATTAGCGGTGCCATTGCTTGACAGGCAAACCAGGCACCCTTGCCCGCTTCTCACTCTGGGGTTTCCAATTAACATGAGAAATGCCATGGTCTCAAGGCAGACCTGCCTGCTCTCACCTTTGCCTGCTCATTCCTGGGACTCCCAGGGCTGGGGTGAGCCAGTGGCTGCAGCCAGGAAGGCAGGAGGCCCCATCACCCTGACAGAGCCCCTGCAGAACCTGCAGAGGGGTGGGGAGGAGGTGTTTTGGAAGTGGGAGTGGGTTTGGGCTATGAGACCCAAGCAAGGATCCCTGGCAGGTTGTAACGGTGCTGCACCCACTCAGATCCAGCCCTATCCCAGCAGCAGGTTGTGCTCTCACCAGCACAAGGAGGGAGGAGGCTTTGGAGGTGGCCACTGGCTCTCTACAGAATTACCTGTAGAAACCAGAGGGAATGAGGTGTTTGATGCAAGGATTCATTCCCTGCCCTTCAGAAGTGCCAGGGATCTGCAGCATGTGACATGAGGCAGGTGAGAAGCCTCTGTTGTGGGAGGCCAGATGGCAGCAGAGCTGCTCGTGCAGGGTCGGGGGGGAAGAAACAAAGCCAAGAAAAGAAAATCCCGTTGTGAGCCTCGAGTTGTTTGCACAGAGCATCACCCATGTGCTGCCAGGTCTCTCACTTGCCTGTTTCCATGCAGGAGCTGGTGGTGGCAGCCACCTGTGCCTGTGGGGCTTTGCAAGGGGGGTTCTGCTGAGAAGGGTCTCCCCAAACAGGAGCAGAGCCTCTCACAGCCCCGACAGGGGAAGGGCAGGAGAGCGGGTGTTCATGGCTGCAGCTCCCAGGGATGCACAGCATCCAGCTCGTGCAGCCCAGTGCTGTAATCTCCCTGCTTTTAGGGAATTTTAAGTGACCTACTTGAAGCAGGAGTTGCATAATAGGCTGATGAATATATATAAAAAAGGCTGAAGGTTTCGCCAACGCTCAGGTCAGTTTGTACAGCAGAAGTTGTCCTTGTCCGGCTGCTGCTGCCCTGGGCAGAGCCCTGCCCTTCACCAGCCTTTCCCTTCCCTTCCAGGGTCGCCTCCCGGGCATCAAGGTGAAGTACCTGCTGGTGGTGTGGCTGGGCATCTTCGTGGGCAGCTGGGTGGCCTACATGCACTACTCGTCCTACTCCGAGCTCTGCCGCGGCCACGTCTGCCGGATGATAATCGTGAGTGGGCCAGTTTGGGGTGCTGGGGTGGGCAGGGCCGTGGGAGCCCCATTCCCTGCCTCCCAAGCCCCAAAGCTGGGCCAGGGAGCCCTCCTGGCAGCTGCTTCCCTGGTGCTGTCCCCGGGGGCGGGAGAGGTGACCTTCCCCTGCCAGGGAGAGGGAGAAACAGGGTAATGAGATGTCGGAGGGAAGCAGCCAGGGCAGGCCAGGCAGACGTGGGCAGATTAATGCCTGTGGAGATGAAGCTGGAACATCAGTGAGCAGAGAGCAGGATCTGTGGGCAGGGACAGCATCGTGCCACCCTGGGCTCCACAGAGCTGGAGAAAAAAGGGGAGCAGCCAGTCCGTGGGTACTTCTCTGTAGTTGCTGATGTGCCCTAAGGAAAGCACCAGAGCAGACACCTCGTGGCAGCTTGGCTTGGTGTGTTTTTCCCCTGCCTGAGGCTTGCAGTGGGGTGCAGCCTGTCCCCCACAGATCCCAGCGGGATGCCCCCGGGATCCCTTTGTGTGGCCCAATGGCAGGGGAGCAGGTCACCTGCCCAGCCCAGGGGAGGAGGGGGATGCCAGGCTCTGTCAGAACATGCCTCGTTGGTCAATCCCCCAGCAGAGGAGGGAGACAGGAATTGCCATAACAACAGCGACGAGATCGTTTAATTTGATTTTCTGCCTGACTCCGACCACGGGGTCGTGGGCGCTAATTCCTGCTCTGAGCTCGGGGTTCCAGACACTCTGTCTGGCCGTGTCTCCTGTGAGCAGGTCCAAGGGTTAATTCCCATCCACATCAGAAAAAAAAAAAAAAAGGAGGAAAAGATGCAGTGAATGTCTGCAGCTCCTGCTTTCAGCCCCGAGGCTGCTGTGCCCTCGCTGAGGAGCTGCAGTGCTGCAGCCTCTCCTGCCCAGGGATGTCTCCAGCTCCCAGCCCAGAGGATCAGAGCCACCGTCTGTCCCTGTCCCTGCCACCCCCTGGACCAGGGCCAGCCCATCTCACAGCAGGAGCTGCTGCTCTGCTGAGCAGCCTCAGCCTCTGCATCCTCATTCTCCTCAAATCCACGCTGTCCTCTCCTCCAGCCCTGGAAGCTCTCCCAAACTCCTGGATTTGCATCCAGGAGCAAATCTCCTGTGGTGCCTCCAGCAGCACAGGGGGTCCCTGCCAGCCCAGCCCCACTGTGCCCAAGGAACTGAGCCATCCCCAAGGGCCAGACCCTTCTCTGGGTCTTAGAACTGAGGAAATTTTGGGCTGGGACATCTTTGGAAAATGGAATAGGAAGTTTAGGGGTGCTGGAAGAGGCTGGACTCTGAGCAACTGGCACTACATCTCCCTGATCAAGGTCTGAGCACAAGGTGCTCCTCTCCCTCCCAGCCCCCTGAAGTGGCCAAAATGGCCACCAAGGTGCAGACATCACCCAAAACCACCTGCACACTGTGCTGGCATGGCATGGGCATCTGAGGGGGGTCACGCACCCCCAGCTTGTGTCCTTGGGGTCCTCCATGAGCTGTGGGAATAAGCTTGGATCTATCAGACTTCTTCGGATGAATGTGAAGCTGCCCCTGCTGAGCTCCTTTCTCTCCTTCCCCTCCCCAGTGTGACCAGTACAAGAAAGGAATCATTTCTGGCTCCACGTGCAAGGATCTGTGTGAGGAACGTGGCCTCCTCTTCCAGCACTGCCTCTCCTCCTCTCCCACCCAGCAGGTAGGTCTCTGCCTCCTCCACCACACGGCATGGGATGGGTACAGGCATAAAACCTGGGAGACCTCCTCCTCACCCCATTCCTGTTCCCGTCCTCAACCAAACCAGAACCCAGCTCCGGGGGTTTTTTTGCACTTGCTGTTCTCCTCTCACCTCACCCTGTCCCGTCCCCTGTGCTGCAGGTTTACAGCGGGCTCTGGAGGGACAGGGAGGTGATCATCAAATGTGGCATTGGAGAAGCGCTGAGGGCAGACAGCCGCCCAGACTCTGTGCCCAGGAGGGACGTGGTGCTCTTCGACAAACCCACACGGGGGACGTCCATGGATGAGTTCAAAGAAATGCTCCTCAACTTCCTCAAGGTCAGTGCAAGGGTCTTGTGGGATCCCACAGGCCCAGGATGCCACCTACAAGTTGGGAAGACTAATTGTGTCTTTCCCTCGAATGAGATCTCCTCTGGCCCACACTCCTCCACCCACTGCTGGGTGCTGGGCTGGGTGCTCCCTGCCACATACTGGATTAGTGGAGGAAAACCTCCATTTTCTCCCAGGAACTCTTATTGGTGATATTTGAGTAGCAGCAGCCCTGGAGGCTTCTGTGCCTTGGCTCTGGGTGGCATCTGTGCTGGGCAGAGCTGATTCACAAGCCCATGGTGGCCCCTGTGTGGGACTTCTGGGTCAGCAGTGGTGCCTGGCCTTTGCTCCCAAAGCCATGCTCCTGTCTGGAGCCCTGAGGCTGGTAACATTCTGCTGGAGCTGAATCTCTCCACACAATATTGTGGCATCAGATCTTCTGGAGCGTGGCGCTGTTTCCTCCTCTCCCCAGATCAGGTCTTCGCACTCCCAGTTCGGTTTTTGACACTCAAACACAGAGAGCTCTGGGGGTCTGATGCCACCTCTTGTCCCATTTGCAGTCCAAGCTGGGAGATCAGCCATCCCTCCCAGCCCTGGTGAGCCGGATCATCGCCATGGCCGACGTGAACCGTGACGGGAAAGTGTCTCTGGCCGAGGCCAAATCCATCTGGGCGCTGCTGCAGCTCAATGAGTTCCTTCTCATGTTCTCCCTGCACGAGAAGGAGCACACTGCCAAGCTGCTGGGGCACTGTGGGGACCTCTACGTCACCGAGAAGATCCCCCACACCTCCCTCTACGGGCTGGATGTCCCCCCCTTCCTCCAGTCGCTGCTGCCTTCCGTCGCCCACCAGCTCCTCCACCAGTGGTTCGCGCCGGCGTGGCCCCGGCGCGCCAAGATCGCCATCGGCCTCCTGGAGTTCGTGGAGGAGATTTTCCACGGCACCTACGGGAGCTTCTACATCTGCGAGACGGGCTTCAGGAACGTGGGCTACAACGACAAGTTCGACTTCAAGATGGTCGACCTGAGGAAGGTGGCGACGGAGGCGACAGTCAGGGGGTTCCTCAAGGGGCGTCACTGTGAGCAGAACGTGGACTGCACCTACGGGCGGGACTGCACGGCGGCCTGCGACAAGCTGCTGAAGCAGTGCAAGGGCGACATGGTGCAGCCCAACCTGGCCAAGGTGTGCGGGTTGCTGCAGGACTACTTGCTGTACGGGGCGCCGCTGGAGCTGAAGGACGAGCTGCAGAAGCAGCTCCGAACTTGCATGACCCTCAGCGGCCTGGCCAGCCAGATGGAGGTGCACCACTCCCTCGTGCTCAACAACCTCAAGACCTTGCTCTGGAAGAAGATTTCCAACACCAAATATTCCTAACGGGGGGAAGCATGGCCCTGGAGTTTAGGATCTGCCACCTCGGAGTCAAGTCTAAGGGCTGAAGGCCTGTTTCTCCATCTTCCCCACAGGTAAAATACACCCTGCACAGGGAGTTCAGCAGAGCTGCAGCCCCTTCTCCATGGAAAACCAAGCTTCATGACTTCCACCGCCCAGCAGGATCATGGATCAGTCAGCAGGAGTGTCTGCAGAGCTGGGACACCAGGCTGGACAGGCTTGGGGGAGGAAGATGACATGGAAAGGGATAAGGAAGCGGAGCCCAGCTGGATGCATCTAAGTGTTTCTTGATTAACAGGAAAGCAGAGCAGAGTGATGGGAATGAATCATTCATGCTGTACTTGTCACATCTTCTTTTGATGAACGTCTCTGATGTAAATAAACAGCTTTTACGTGAATCACACCAGTACATCAATAGTGAAACAGCAGCCTGTTAAGTACCAGCTTGTTTGTGATCTAAAAAGGAGGAAAAGGTAGATTTCCTGATTCAAAAATCTCTCCTTAAGTGTCTGAGTCATCTGCCATCAGATCCAGCTGTAACATAGGAAGCAGATAAGCAGTCTGTTCCACAGTGTTGAATCCTGGCAATTCTTTGGTTCCATTTTTAAGTGCCTGACCCTGACAGTGATGCCATGGCTTGTGTGAGGCTCCCACTCGGCTGCTCCCACCCCAAGTCCAAAATTGGCAGCACAGGCCATTCCCTCACATGTTGGCTTTGGAAGCTCCAAGGCCAAGGAGAGCTTAAAGGCAAAGGGCTAAACATGAACAGTTCTGACCTGTTAATGTGCTCCATGTGTCCCTTCCCACCACACTCAGAGCAGGGATAAACCAACCTCTCGGTTTAATTCTCCTAAAACTAAGCTGGGCTTGCCCTGCAGAGGTTGAAGGTTAATACCAGAATAAACCAGTGCTTCTCTTGTTATTAAAGTGAATTTCCAGGCAAGCTTTCAGCAGGTCTCAAGACATTTGTTTGGCTGTGTATGTACTACCAGGGCTCTAAGTATAGTCGTTTCCTTTAAATGCCCAATTATAGCAATCTTAAAACTGTGGGTAGGGAAGAAGAGCTTTTATAAACTCCCCCAAGGCTGCTCTGTTCCCAGCACAGCCATATTCCTGCTGCTGGGCTGCACAGTGGTTCTCCTGCCAACAATTCCTGAGTGGAGTGTGCAGCTGATGTACAATCCCAATTAAAACTACACCTGACAGCATCACCTGGGAATGTGATCAGCAGAGCTGTGGCTACACATTTAGGAGCCCTCTGAGGAGAAAGACCAGGATTTCCTTGTGTTCTTTCGGATCCTCATCACCTCGCACTGGTGTTTATGGAGTCAGCAGGGCCCTGTATCCAGCACAGATCTCCCTCCCTGCTGAGGAGTGGCCTCTGCAGTGCAATTTATCCCTGGATAGGCTGAGCACTCCCAAAGTTTCTGTGTTTGGAGGGTGACAAGTCCTCAGCCCCTCGAGTCGCCCTGGCTCAGGTACAGACACCGCCAAGGTGAGCAGGGCCCCCTGCAAGGTGTGGGTTCACCTGCACAGGAGGGAGCACGTGGGCAGGGCTGGGATTCAGTAATGAATCTCCACACAGCCACTGCAGCTCATCCATTGTCCTGCATCCCCATGGCAACCAGCTCCACTGGCAAATTAATTTGCTTCTGCTATTAGCAAAGGAATCCAACACCCACCCATGGCAAGTGCCCTCCTCAGGTCATCCGAGAAGCCATTTCTCACCTTCCCCTCTTATTTACTGGTAAATTTTGTCCAGATATTCCCACTAAATCCCTGCTGCTCCTTTCTCCCAAAGCAGTGTTAAAGCAGCAGGCAAGCACCTGGAAAAGGGGTTTTCCCCTCAATATCAGAATTTTTAAGTAATTATGGTGAAGATCCAGGAGAGGCAGCTCCTGTACCTGACAAATTTATTGAAATAAACACTTCTGACAACAACTTGTCCCATCACCATCGTTGATCCACAGATCCCACAGCACTGGATACTCCCAGGGATCACTGATGACTCAAAAACCCCAAAAGCACAGTTTTGCTCATCCCTAAAAAGCACAAAGTCTTTCTTTGCAGTGCTCATGGTTTACAAGCTACACAGGAACATAGGAGAGAATGAGTAAAGGCAAAGCTATTTTGCAGTCAAACCTCCTCCAGATTTCCCACAGAGGCTGGAATAAAAAGCCAGAACACAAACACTGATAATCTGATCTCACTGGATGCTGCTGCTTCTGCAGCAGAGATTTGTGCCCAAGGGGATGGAGGTAAGAAATACCTTTAATTCCATGAAGTACAAAACCATCCCAGCTCCCAGATCTACAAACAGAAGTCTTAAATCCTAGAATGGTTAAAAAAAATAGTGTTACTTGGGGTGCTACAACTACACGAGCCCCATTCAGACTTATGGTAGGTGGCATCTTTATTTAGTCCTTTTTTTAAAAATCCTTCTTAGCCATGTAGAGAAAACACAGATGATCAGCTTTTGAGGAATCCATGAATCTTCACATGCAGACACTGCCAATCACTTCTTTTGCTGTTGCCACTTTTGTTAGGAATTCTGAAACTCAGGCCATGACCTGCAAATAAAGAGAGAGTCCAGGATGTCAGACAAATTCTAATATGGCCAGGAAAAGGGAGAAATAATGTCAATACTAAGGAGCTAATTAACTCCTGTCATCCAGACTTTGCTGCCCTTGTTTGTGTTGGAATCGCCCAAAGATTTTTTACATCCCAGATGTGAAATAAAAAAGCTTCATAAAATGAACCCAAATGTCAGGGCAGCCATTAGAAGGGCTCAGTTATGAGGGTTCAGAAGGTTACTTTTAGAAAAGGATTTCCTTCAGTCCAGAACCACAGGAACACCTCAAATCCTAGTGCCTGGATTCCCTGCCTGGACATGTGTGGCTCAGGACCCACAGCAGAGACAGAAGCAGACGGCACCAATTTAGGAGAAATTCTTTGCCATTCCAACAGAAAGCTTTTGGGAAAATATCTGTCTGGGCAGACAGTGCACTTGGGTGAGTTTAGGCAAGGGCTAATTGAAGAGAAGGATAGCTGGAGCCTGCTCTGGGTTATTCCTTCACTCCCTAAAAATCCAAGCCGAGTTTGCCAACCTCAGGGCAGAGCCAAACTATTAATAGTGCAGGGAAAGAAAAGCTGGGCTTATTCCAGTGTTCAAAGCCATGACAGAAACCAGTCTTAGATGATGAAGGGCTAAGTTATGTGCTGAGACATTTTTAATTTCTCCCAAATCATCTTAATACAAAACATTTCCACAGTGGAGAGCCAGGTATTCTTTCAGTAAAGCCAAATTCTTGGCCCAGGAGCTCTGCTGAGGCTGGGGAAGGCAGTTCACAGCAAATCCTACCAGGAAAATGTTCATAGTTATCCTGTGCCTCACACAGGGAAGTTCTGGAGACACTTATTAGCACTCACGGCCCATCCAGGACCCCTGATGTGAGTAAAGCCTGATGAAAAACCCCAAACATGGATTTTAGGGTTGAAAGAAGCCAGGAAATTTAAATAGAAGAGTCACATCCCATCTCCCCCCAACCTGATTAGCATTCTTTTCCAAAGCCACTGCTGGAGGCAGTGACTTTTCCCAATTAAAGGGCTCACTTTGCAGCCAGCACAACCTGCAGGCTCTGCAGCACCTCTGGCCCTCCTTAATGCCCATTTAATGAGGTTTCCCACCGTTTAGCTCTGCCAGAGTCTGTCAAAGCTGCAAAGCCTCAGCTGCACAATCTCTGTGTGGTCAGAACTTCTCTCCCCACTCATTCCCAGAATAGGTTCATGTCACCCAAGGAAGGACAGTGACACACAGAACTATCTGCATACAGGGACACCTGTGCTCCCTCCTTGGAGATTCCTTTGCCATCATGCCAGAAAATAAACACAACAACAAAAAAAACCCAACTAAAAGCTCTGTGCTCAATAAATTATATTTTTGCTTGTCTGATGTTTTACCAGCCAGAATGTGATGCATGGGGAGGTGAGATCTTGTCTTGGGAAACAGGGCAAAGTACTGCTGCACTTGAAATCACTCCTGAAGGATCTCAAAAGACTTCCAAGTTTCAGCATTAAATTTTTCCCTGGATTACCAACATCAGTATTTTTATTTTTTTCTCCATTACCTCTCTAAGAGATCATCTCCTTATTTTGCACATCTGTGACATGAACATGACTGCAGCAGTTTTGTGTCAGCAGCACCAGAGCCTGTTCTGAGAATCTTCAGGCACATAAAAGTTTAAGCTCTTGGCCTGACAGAGCTGTCCCTGAAAGGAGGCACTTTGGGAGCTGAGAAAGGCAGTTCAAGGAACTGAAATAAGTGTCAATCAGAGGTGTTAAACACTGCTTACAAAAATGCCTGCATTAGCAGAACCTGAAAGTGCTTCACCCAAGATAGGGGTTTGACAGCAAAAAAAAGATGAAAAAATACTGAATTTTAAGGCTTTTTTCTGCAAGAATGCTTTAGTAACATTTTAGGGTTTTTTTGTCCATGTCCTGCAAGAAGTTCATCAGGACAAGATGTACCAACACAAGGGTCTCTTTCCACTCACTTTGGTAACACGTTGAGAAATGACCCAACACCCACCTTTGACATTTGAAGATCATTCCAGAACTCAGCCCTGCTCTCGAGAGGAACTGTGAGAAGGAAAAACATCCTCAGTTTGGGTTTTTTTGGTAAAGGATTGAGTTGATTTTGTGTTTCTCCCCCCAAAAAGCAAGCATGATTACAAAGCCACATTTCAGAAGATTCCTGATTGCATCTTCTGCTTTAATTTACTCCAGGTGTAATTTTCTCCCTCTGCTAAATCCACACCCAACTCCATCTATAACCCTGCCCATGTTTTGGAAACAAAGTAAGTGCCTGTTTCCCTCATCTCCTCCACTCCCAGGTACAGTTCTTGATAGCTACACAATCCCAAACCCTGCACAGCTTGAGGTGCCCTTTCACAGGCAGCAATCAAGAATATCTCTAAGGCCAGGAAGGAGTAAAACTAGAATTCAGGAACAGAGCTGTCACTTCTACTTGTCCTTGTAAAAATAAGGAAGGACCTTCCCCTGATGCAGTTAAAACTAACATCATTTTAACTGCTCTTAAAAGGAATTGTGCTCCACCTTTTGCTGATTCTCTGGAGAGAGAGTTAAATGTGGAAACAACATCAAGCAACTCATCTCTGATCTCTGACCTCTAATGAGATCAAAGGAGAGCAAATCTCCAAGGACTCAGGATTATTGGAATAGATAATACTACAATTTGCCAATCCTCACAGGAGCATCCAGTGACAGGACAAGGGGAAATGGTTTTAAACTGAAAGGGGGGAAGTTTAGATGAGACATTGGGAAGAAATCCTTCCCTGTGAGGGTGGGGAGGCCCTGGCACAGGTTGCCCAGAGAAGCTGTGGCTGCCCCATCCCTGGAAGTGTCCAAGGTCAGGTTGGACAGGGCTTGGAGCAATCTGGGCTAGTGGAAGGTGTCCCTGCCCATGGCAGGGGGTGGAATGAGATGAGCTTTAAAGTCCCTTCTAACCCAAACCATTCTGTGACTCTCTAAAGCAATAAAAGAAATCTGAATTAGCTTTTAACAGAGTGTTAGTAAAACAGCTGCTGTGCCCTGTCCACGTTTCACCATTTCAGATTTACATTAAAGGGAAAAAAGAAAAAGCCACAAACAGGAAAAGCAATAAATAAATGTCAGGTTGTTGAGCAATCCTGGGAGCTCACAGGGATCAGAGCACCAGGGAAGGAGTCTCCTGTTCCTCTCTGCCACCGATTGACACAGACATGGCACTGCAGCCACGCCTGCAACACGAGATGGGGCAGGGCTGTGTGAGCAACTCCCACTGCTGTGGCTCACCTCGGCTCTGGGACACCTCCTGCTCTGCCAGTCACAGGGCTTTGTCTGGAAAACACGTGGAAAATACATACACAGGGTTTAGACACACTTCAAAGCCTGGTTATACAGTAACTGATGACAGGAACTTGAAAGAAATAAATGCATAGCAGAGGAAAGCTTTTGGATAGAAACAGGGTTGGCGACTCCCAGGACATGCTCCCAGTGATGTCACCAACTCACCACATGGCTTTAGACTAATAACTTTAACTCATTCTTCTACAAGATTGTGCCCACAGGATCTGTTTCTCAAGGTTATATAATCATAAAGCCACGTGCAGCTTCTCTGCAGCACATCCACTACAGGTCAAACAGAACAGCTTCCCATCGTGCTACACAGAGATCTCACACTTAGGGCAACCAGAAGGGAGTTTTTCACCAGTCTCCTCAGAAGCAGCTGGTTTATTAATGATGTCAGGCTGTCAATCACTCTGAGTGCTCACGGGCTGCAGAGCACACGAGCGTAGAACACAGCCTGTCTCTCTTGCCACGTCTTGACACAAAGATGCCACAGCAGCCATCTCTGCAACGCCAGTGGCAGCTTGGGAAATAAAAAAAATCCCCAAACCAAAAGCAAAAAGACTGAAGAAAATGCAATTATGGGTGCGTGTCCCAGCATTTGAGGCCAGGCTGGATGAGCAACCTGGTCTAGTTGGAAGGTGTCCCTGCCCGTGGCAGGGGGTTCAGTGAGATGAGCTTTAAGTTCCCTTCCAATCCAAACTATTCCATAATTTTATGGTATTTATAAGAAGATTATATCACCTCTTGGAAAGCAGTGTTACAAAGGCATTCGGTGGGTAGCCTTTGTGTGAAGCATCACCCTTCTCTTCTGAAGACACACAATCTCTGCCCCTTCACTTTTTGCCTGCTGATGGGCTGAAAAAAGACAAATAAAGAATGCAGTTAATACCACACGAGTGTTAGGCAAACTATGTAACCCCCTTTTTTTTTTTTTTGGCGAAACACACTGTTTACCTGAAAACTAGAGATTTAAAACGTAATTTAAAAAACCAGAATATCTGCCGAAGACTAATTTTAGCTACTTGAATCTTTAAAAAATATTTTCCTGAAAACCTGACTAGGCGGCAGCCTTAGATTTTCCTCCCCTCCTCGGAGGGAGAGTATATATTAAAATTTATATTAAACGCATATATTGAAATTTATATTAAACGCATATATTGAAATTTATATTAAACGCATATATTGAAATTTATATTAAATGTATATATTAAAATATATACAGCTGTATTCAGATATCTGTGTGGGTGCATGCATATATTTATACATATATATAAAATAGCCCTAGCCCATTGCTACACATGAGCTGAAGATATACCGGATTTACAGCGCACGTGGCAGCGCCTGGAGCCCCCGGAGCCTCGGGGGAGCCGCGGCCCCTCCAGGATGGGTCCAGCTGAGCGGGGACCCGCCTTACCTTCACTGTTCCCTTCACGTCCCCCCGCCGGGGCCGCTCAGCGCCGGGGCCGAGGGGAAGCGGGACCGGCCCTCAGGGAGCTTCGCCACAACATGGCGCGGGAAGGGCAGCGCGGCCCTGCCCGGGCGGGCCCTTCTCGGCCAGCACCGGCTTCCCGCCACCGAAGGGCCCCTCAGTTTCGCCATGACCAGGCCGGGAAGGGCCGGTCCCGCTCCCATTCCCAGTCCCACCGAGGAACCCCCGAAGACCCGCACGCTCCGCTCCGCGCCCGCAGAAAGGACGATCCAACTCCCGCCTCCCGCTTATATGGGCCGGGAACGAAAGGCCTGCGCGGTGCTTTCGCGCCCGCGAGCGCCCCCTGCTGGGCGGGAGGTCTCAAAGCAGGGACCGGGGACACGGGAGGGGGACACGGGCAAGGAACGGGGGGCCCTGCTCAGGGCTCTTCCCCACCCTGCAAGACTGCTCTAGGGCCTCCGATGGAGGCACGAGGCGTACTAGGGGATGGATATCCCTTTTCTCAGCTGCTTCGGGAGCCCCTGCTTCCCGTGGTTTGGCTCCGAGCATATCCTGGGACAAAGCATGGACCCTCCAGCCCCATGATGCACCAGCCGGTGGAGATCCTTCAATTCTGTGATGAACCAGCCAGTGGGGACCCTCCAACCCTACTGGGGCCCCTCCAGCCCTGCAATGCACCAGCCACCCTGCAATGTCCCCAGCTTGGGGACATCCTTCATCCCTTTCCCTCCCATTGCCTTGACTCCCCTGGCATTGCAGACTCCCCTTCCCATTTCACCACGGAAGAAACAAAAAGGATCAGAGGGATAAACCCCTTTATTTGTTAAGAAGAGCTCAGGAACAGGAAGGCCACAGGACATCAGCACTTCCTTGCAACAGGGACAAACCCAAGGAATGGGGCAAGGTCTGGCCTGGCTCCATTTTCCCTGCATGGCTCTGGAGGGAGCAATTTGAGCCGGGGACTGTGTGTGGCTGTGACCACCACGGGATCTCTGTGCACAGCAGAGCTGGGGGGCCCCTTCCACAGCCAGCCCAGCCCTGCCAGAAGCCAGTGCCCGGAGTGCAGAGCCAGTCCTTTGGAATTGGAGCAGGAGACCCATCCCCGAGGCACTGAGCCCGTCTCGGGGGCTCTAATTGCCCTCAGCTTTCCTCCGCAGCTCCTCGACGGCCTCGCTCTGCCGCCTCTTGTCCTTGGCGCGGATGATGGTCATCCTGAAGAGCTTGCAGTAGAGCTCCACGGCCGAGGGGCTGTCGTCGTTGCCGGGGATCGGGTAGGTGATCAGGGAGGGGTTGCAGTTCGTGTCCACCACGCCCACCGTGGGGATGTTCATCTTGGCGGCGTCCCGGACGGCCACGTGCGTCTGGAAGACGTTGTTGAGGCTGCTGAGGAAGACGATGAGGTCGGGCAGGCGGACGCCGGCGCCGAACTGGATGTGGGCGTTGGTGAGGAGCCCGCCCTGCCAGTAGCGCGTGTGCGCGTACTCGCCGCAGGCCCGCGCCGTGCACTCCACCAGGTGGCAGAACTGGCGCTTGCGGCTGATGAAGAGGATGATGCCCTTGCGGTAGGCGATGTGGGCCGTGAAGTTGAGGGCCAGCTGGAGGTGCTGCATGGTCTGCTCCAGGTCGATGATGTCCTGATCCAGCCGGCAGCCGAAGATGTAGGGCTCCATGAACCTGGGGGGGCAGAGGGAGGGCGGCACAGGGGCACGGGGACAAGGTGTGCAGGCACTGAGCGCTTCTGGATGTGGGGTGGCTGCACAGGAACCTTCCTTTCCCCCACTCCAGCTCCTGGCTGATACCAGAGATGCTCTCTGCAGAGAGCCCTCGTGTCCAGTGTCTGTTCCAGCTGGGCTTGGGGGGCTGTGGGTCTCACCCCCCCTTGGTGCCCACATTGTGGGGGGTCCCTGTAATCTGCCCTGTGTGGGCAGTTCCAGGCTCAGACCAATCTAGTGCAGCCCCCAAAGCAAACATTGTTTATGGAAGCACTCTTGATGTCAACAAGCACTGGATGATGAAATAATTCCACTCACCTGTGCCGACAGCCCTTTTTGTGGCCCAGGTGCACCCGAGCATCAAAGAGATCTTTCAGGGTGAAGAGCTCCTTCACGTTGAAGAAGTCGGGGTGGCTGAGAGGCTCTGACAGCAGCTTGTCATCTGCAGCTGAGAGAAGGGAAACAATCAATCACTGCTCCCTCTGGTGTTTTGGGGGACGAGCTGGGATTGCAGAAAGGACCCCGATACACCCACGACCACCTGCTGCAACGAGGCGATACCTGCACGGGCATCGCTCCTGGCCTGGACCCGGGGAGGGAAAACACTCACCGCTGGGCTGGGTCGCCACCGGGGCCGTGGCCGTGGCCGGGGCCGGTACCAGGACGGTGCTGTAGAGCCGCGGGGCCGCTGCGGGAGAGAAACACGGGGGTCACACGGGCGGGCCGGGGCGGACCGGGCGGGGCTGGGCAGCGCCCGCTCACCTGCCGCAGGAGCCGCGGCACCGCCATGCTCCGAGGGCACCGCGGGGCAGCAGCAGGAGCGGGAGAAGGAGGAGGAGGAGGAGGAGGAAGGTCAGCGGCGCTTTCCGCTTCCTGCGGGCGGGGCGGGCCCGCGCCCCTCCCCGGGGCGGAGCGCGGCGCGATCGCGTCCCGTCGCCGAGCAACGCTCAGTGCCCTGAGCCATGTCCGGCCCCGAGCCCGGCCTGCCCGGCCGCTTCCGACAGCCGCCTTCTACGGGCTACGGGTGAGCGGGGAGCTCGGGCCGGGCCCCCGGAGCCCCCCGTGCCCCCCACCTACCCCGTGCTCTCGCCCCGCAGGCAGCCGACGCCGCACCCCGGTTCCGCACCACCAACCCAGACCTACGCAGCAGGGCCCCCACGGTGCACGAGCTGCCGGTAGGTGATGGAGGGACCCCCGGGGGGGCTCGGGGTCAGCACGGCCAAGCTTTGCCCTCCGCGGCGTCCCCGGTAGCCAAAACCCAACCTCGCATCCAAACTTTGCAGGCGCTGTGACTGTGCGCAATTTTAAACATCTCCCTTCTTTTCTCGCCCCTCTCCAGACCTGCTTCCGCGTCATCTCGCACAAGTTTTCGGACCATCTGGGCAAGGCTGGCATGTACAGGAACAACAGCCTCAACACCTCGCTGGAGAAGAGCTACTGCACGGGCCCCGACACCTTCATCACCGCCTACGAGCACATGGACTTCCACCCCAGCTACAACCCCAGCGGGCCCTCGCACTGCAGGAACCTGAGCTAGGGAGGGACACCAGGGAGCCACCGCGGCTTCTCCCGGTGGGGTAACCGCGCACAGCTGAGATGAAACCCACTGATTCACAGAACGAATGTTATTGTTAATAACGTATATTGTTCTATATGTTAATTTATAAAGATTTAGTGTGGTTAAACGTCAGATAAATAGCTCATAGGAGCCGTCTCGCTTAGTTTATAGGCAGCATATAAATCCTAGAACAACATATATCCCCTTAACCTCTTCTCTGTCGCTAATGATCCTTTAAATTCTTGGCTCATGTACCACATATAATTAAAAATTAAGATTTAAACTGCTTCTCTACTATTCAATGAATAACTGATCTGCAGGTTTTCCAGAGGTATTCATTAACCTTTTGGATTGCCTGTAGAAAGTTAATGTTTCTTCTATCTCACAACTACAAAGCTTTAAGGAATTATTCAAATAACGGCAAGTAATCAAAAAGAAAACGTTTTCTCAAGTTTTATTGTAACAACTGTAGTTACAGCCAGTGAAACTGCACTGTCCAACTGCACTAAAGGAACACCTTTACATTTTTAGCTTAAAAACTAGTTTTGAAGAAAAACTGCTCTGCCTGTTTATGGATGAGAAACAGTCCCATGTTACAGGTGTAACACAGGGATAGTATCCATTAAAAATGAACATAATGCTATTCTAGCTGTTTGTGAAAAATATAAATAATGAGTTAATATTATGGCCAAGCACCACTGCAATTGATATTCTTCAGTGTCATAAATATTCCCTATTTGTGGCACTTGGTTATCTCAAACAAAGGAATAGCTGGGTAAAATCCCCCCCCCCAGGTGCAAACACACCAATACATTGGAACAAATAAATAAACTGAGCAGAAACAGGCCTGAAAAGTTAACTTTTAAAATATTTAACATGTGAAAATAAATAAGCAACTCTCTACTGTTCACTGTTAATTCTTCTATTAGACTCTAGACAGTATCTTGAGCTTCTTACAAGTTCCCTTTCTTCTCCTGAAATGAAGAAAATAACAAAGTGCTGAATTAATATAAATAGTTGTGACTATTTTATGTATTATTTTTATCCACAGATTTTTCTGCAGGTGGCATAATTTAGGGATAAGAGTGCCTCTTAAAAATATAACTATAGTGGATTCTGTCACATATCTTCCCACTTCATCTGAAAACACCCACCTCTTTTCTTCCTTGCCTCAATTTCTTGTCTTTTAGTTTTATTCTTGAACTGAAACCAGATCCTTTGAAGAGTTTGACATGCAATGTGCCTTAGTGTTCAGATGTTAGACCAAATACTTAAGAAATACCTGCACAAATTCAAAATATCAGCCTGAAGATGACACATTTTACCACACAGAATCTCCCTGGAACAGTCTCTTTCTACTCTGTCTTTTGAAAGGAAGATTTTCATGTTTGCAGATACAACTATGTGGGGCTGAACTATCACAAACTGAAGGTTTGAAAAATTGAAAAGCTTATACATTAATAAAAGAAATGGTGGCAGGGATGGTGTGTTCCTGCCTCGTATAAAAAAGCAGCTACACTTAGAAACATGTGTTCTTAAAATAGCAGCAAAGAATGTTTATAAAAAATTAAGGTAGTTCTTGTGGTCTCATGAGGATCCTTGAAGATTGTTGCTCCCAAAGCACTGAAAAATAGTCACTGAGGTAAAAATAAAGCACTAAATCTATTTTCAAAGTCCTGCACAAGCACAGATTTATCTGAGAACCGTGGTACTGCAGCCAGAAGGACATCACTTACCAGGAGCCATAATGAAAAATACCAAGTGGTTTAAATAACTTAACATCCAAATTAGCACATGTTGTGCTCTGACTGAAAAAAATAATCACTGCTCACTTTTAAAAAACATGAACCAGCATTCATTAAAAAAGGTAATTGTTGGCAAGAGTGGGAAGACCCGAGTTCATGATTCCATCTACTGCAGTAAAGGATAAATTACTCCTCAGCTGGTCAACCTTTAGTAATGTCTCAGAG